ATAGGAGCATGGCACCATGCTAATTTTTCTTTTTTTGAGGCAGGGTCTCACACTGTCGCCCAGGCTAGAGTACAATGGCACAATCACAGCTCACTGCAACCTTGAACTCCTGGGCTCAATCAATCCTCCTGCCTCAGCCTCCTGAGTAACTGGGACTACAGATGCATGCCACCACACCTGGCTAATTTTTTAATTTTTTATAAAGATAGGGTCTTGCTTATGTTGCCCAGGCTGGTCTTAAACTCCCGGCCTCAAGCTATCCTCCTGCCTTAGCCTCCCAAAGTCCTGGGATTACAGGCATGAGCCCCAGCACCTGGCCCTTGATGGTATTTACTATAACTTGCAACTTACTTTTGAGCTGGTTTTTTAGTGTGTGAGGGGAGGGAAGGGTTAGAATATAAGCTCAATGATAGTAAGGATGTATCTGTCTTGTTCAGCACTTAAAAGTATGCGTGGAATACAAAAATAGTAACAATAATAATAACATTTAATAAATACAGTATTATTATAGCAGCTGGAAGCATTCTCCACATTTCAAAATGATCTTGTGTCCAAAACTTAAAGACAGAATAATAACAGAAATAATCAGAATAGCACTAAAGAGCCACCAGGTTACATACTTTCCACAGATTTTCTCTGATCTTCACAACCCACCAGGTGAGGATAATGGTCTCTGTGACTAAGAACACAGTCATTCAAGAGGATTAAGGAACATGCTCAAAGCTACATAGTTGGTGGCTATGGGCAGTAGATTTGGATCTGGAAACTTGATCTGACTCCAAAACACATGTTGTCACCAGGAGGCACATGTACACTGGCAGTTACTGTTGTCTGTAAGATCCACCGCCATGCCTAGAACAGCCCCAAAGTGAAGACAGACACTAAGTCTGCAGTAAGTGACAAGTCAGACTTGAGCTTGGGGCGCTGAACATGCCCCAGTAGAACCGAGAGGCTGAGAGAGACAGTGTCTGCTAGTTGGAAGTGACTCCAGGCACTCGCGGCCACTCAAAATCGTTGCTGTTGTTTAAAATTGTAAGAAGAAAAAATAGGAGGAAAATAAGGGGAAAAAAGAGACCAGCAATTCAAGTATGGGTGTTCATGAGAATGATCTCTATCTGACAGGAGTGAAATTCCAGGAATAAGTGCCATCAACTAAGCACCAATCATGTGTCAGGTATTGTAGGTTAGATATTTACCATTAGATAATTTAATTTTTTATTATTCTTAGAGTTGAGGAAAATGAGCTTCAGAAAACTGAATTATCTTGTTCAAAGACACACAACTAGAAGTGACACAAACAGGACTCGATCCAGCTATTTTGATGTTAAGGTTTATGCTTTATCTGCTACATACTGCTGCCTGGCCAAAATCTGTCTGTGTGCACTTATCAATAAATGTGCTATTGCAGGTGATACCTTCAAAATCAGAAGAGACAATACTAAACTAGCCAACACAGAAGACAGTGTCGGGATCTCTGCAACCCCAGAAAAATCACGTGAGTAATCACCTGAGTGCCTAAAACGTATAATAGATATTAGAGTTAAATCAAAATGCAGGATGTTTGGACTTCGGGAAGGGGAATGTACAATTATAGGGAAATAAACTTCATGGGGGGAAAATGACATTTTAAAGGAATAGAAAGACAAAACCCTATGGCAAAGAACATTATTTTTCTTGTGACTCTATCTGTTAACTTCCCAGGGGCACTGACTCAACAAATAAATGTTGGGCAATTTCTATTGTATTAACAAGGCTGATTTCAAATAACTACGTTACCAAGTTTGATTAAATAGTAGGGAAAACTGCTGCCTTTTAAGTAAAGAACAGGGAGCACCAAACACCACTGCTAAATCAATATTAAGTGCTTTGCCACTCTCAAGTGATGATGCTGGGAGGCAACGATTTCCTGCTCTTGTAATTGCCGTGCATCTGCATAATCACACCGCGATCAGGTGTAACGATGTGCCAGGAACAGTCTTGCACAGTACTCGATTGCCTGATAATTTATAATATATTCAGAGACCAAGGAAGCATCCTGTTTGTACAGACATGACATCCTTTTATGTAACATTCAATGAAAGAAAAAAGATATTTAATAAAATGCCAGGATATTTTTAAATGCCAACATGCATATCATAAGAAACATTTATTTTAACATATTATTGTACCTCAAAAGTGGTGAAATCTGTACAATATTTATTACAGATAACATTATCACCCATGTAGCAATTTGATAAGTACTTAAAATGTGTATGTTAAAATTTCAAAGTGATTAATAGAAGTTAAAGAGGCTGAATTGAAAGCCTTTCTTGACCGATCAGCAGGATTTGACCCCACTCAATATTCCCTCACCTTCTTTAAACTCTTTCTTCTCCTGCTGTTCTCTTTTTGTCCTTTTACTAGCAGCTCTTCTTCTACCATTAAATGCGGAAGGCCCTTGAGGTCTGTCTTAAGTCTTTCTCCTTTCTCCATTCTGTATTCTTTCCCACAGCACACCCACAACAGAGCTTCTTTACATCGGCGTGCACATGACTCCCACGTTAGCATCTTCGGCTCCATCGTCTCTTCAGAATCCCAGATCTGTGAGATCCAACTGCTGACCTGACCATTCCTCTTGGGTGTTCAGCGTGTGTAACTTCCCCATTCCCTGCCTTTTCTTCGCCCTCCCCTTACAACACCTTGATCCTCATCCAGTGTCCCCATCTCATCGAACGATGCCACCATCCACAGGTGGACCAAGTAGGAATCTGGGGACGATTCTTGACACCTCCCCTTTCACTCACCCTCATATCTAGTTTATCCTTGTTAACCAATATATTAAGTACTCTCTCTTTCACCTTTTAAATATCTCTGAAACCCATTCTCACCTCCCCTTTGGAACTTTCAAATCCCTACTCCAAACTATGGTCATCTGTCAGGGGGTCTGTTACCATAATAGCTCTCTGACTGGTCTGCATATGGCCACCCTGGCTTCCCTGCACTCTTTCAACATGGTAGCCAAAGTGATCTTATCAAAATGCAAATCTGGTCATATTATGTCCCTTTTGTTCACCAAAATCCTTAAACAACCTGCTGTTATTTTCAAGAGAAAGCCAAAAGCTCTTGGTAGGGCCTCCATGGTCTTGCCACAGGCCCTCGCTCTTCTGCCTCGCCCGTCTCATCTCAGGCCGTCTTCCTCCATCTCCCTCCCCATCTCAGGCTGAGGCCTGACCTCAGCAGTACTGTCCATCCATCAGGCCCGCAGCCTTATCATGTTCCTAACCTAAGGGCCTTTGCACTTACTGTACTGTCCTACCTAGAAAATGGTTCCCTTCTCCTTGTGTAGTTCATTCGGACTCAGTATTCAGGTCTCTGCTCATGCATTATTTCCTCAAGAAAGCCTTCCCTAATTTGCCAAATCCCCTAATTGGGCTGTATTATGCAGTGCTTGTCAGAGTTTTAATTTCACATTTGCTTATCTCGTTAACCAATTATCACCTATCTGTCTCCCATTGCAAGTTCTAAGACAGCTAAGATCCCTGCTTCTGCTCACCACTGTGACCCTAGTGTCTAACACTGTACCTAGCGCACATTAGATTCTCAGCAACATTTGAATGAATACATGAATGAATAGTAAAGTATCTGACCCAAGGCTGTTACTACTGAAAAACAAAAACTAAAAGGCAATTGTTAGAATATTGGTGCACTGACGATGCATAAGGAGAGAATGAAGGTACCAAGATACTAGTCTACCGTAGCTGAAAAGGAAAATTGCAATTGTACTCTACAACTTCAAGATCCTTCCAAAATAGATGAGGAAAAGAAAGATGGAAATAAACATACATGTGAATTGCGCTTACCCACTGTCGGTGAACAGGAACTCCAAATGGGTCATAAAAACTTCCCAGCGGGAAACACTATACCGTTGTGCCAGAGAAAGAGCAATGCTGTAGACGTTTTCCTCGAGGGTTCTTCAGGAATGCCCGTCAGGCCCAGGAAAGGGAGAGAAGAGAAACACATTACCTCCATCAGCAAAGAAAATGCTCATTAGGACCGCTCGCCAGCAGAGAGGGGTACCGTCAGTACACTCCTTAATAAGATATTTCACAGTGATTCAGGAAAGTACTTCCAAGGAATTTTAATGCTCCTTTTTCACTGTGGTGCACTGCAATCTACCAAGGACTTGTGTAGACCAGTGGTTCTTAATCATGGGTACATTTTGTCCCCTGGGGGACATGTGACAATGTCTGGAAACATTTTGATCATGACAAATGTGGAGGGGGGAGATGCACTACTGGCATCTAGTGGGCAGAGGCCAGGGATACTGCTAAACATCCTACAGTACACAGGAAGCCCCCAAAGCAAGGAATTATCCAGTCAAAATGTCAATAGTGCTGTGCTCGAAAAAACTCTGAACTAGACTCTGGAGCCTATAGTCAAAAAACAGTGCATCTCTATCCTATGGGCAGATATTAGAGAAAGCACAGTTAGTCACTCAACAAACTTTTATGTTTTCTATATCATGCCAGGTACTGAGCTAGCTGCTTAAGGATATAAAAACAAATAAGCTCATCGTCTAGTGGAAGACAGGAGATGCGAACCAGCAACAAACACAGTGGTGGCAGTGCTGAAAGAGAGGACTACGAAGCTCTGTGAGAACAGAGAGGGGGAAGTGACCAGTGGGAGCTGAAGGCTGAGGAGTAAACACGCACTAACTCAGCAGGGCTGGGCAAGGGGAGAAGGGACAGATGGGCTTCCAGGAGATGAAGGAGAAGGGGGGTCGCAGCGAGGAATGCACAGGGTCCTCAGGCCCGCTAAGGGACCTGCACCTCACTCTACAGGCAATGGAGAGTCGGTGGAATATTTAATCCAGGATGGTCATTGCCAGATTTGACAACCTCTTGGCGTATCAAGAATTCCAATAAAATGGCCACACTGAGGCCGTTTTGGAAAGACTAGTGCAGGACCCTACTTCCCAGAAGCAGAGAAATGAAAGACAGAATTCTTAGGCGGAAGAATGGTTTGAGCAAAACCACAGAAGCAGAAATGACATCTCTGTTATTAAATAGCACTGCTAAGACTGTATTTCCCCTAGCTAAAGAAGCCACGGCATTTATGTGCTTGATCAGCCAAGGGTTGGCAAGCATTTTCTGAGAAGGGCCACATGGTAAGTATTTCAAGCTTCACTGCCATACAGTCTCTGTGGCATAGCCTTCTTTTTATTTATTTATTTTGCGTGTTTGCTTTTCCACAAACCTTTAAAAATGTAAAAACCATTTTTTGTTCATGGGCTATTAAAAAGAGGCCAAGGATTATGTATGTCAACCTATGGATTAGGTCAGTGTCAATTAGAAATTATTTCTTATTTACTGAGTACCTACCCCCACAAGATGGAATGAGAATTCCTTGGGAATGGGGGCCATTACTAATTCATCCTCTCTATTATGGGAGTCTGGCCTATTGCTTGGCACAGGAACACACTAAGCACTGATATCTTTATCACTTGTTAAAGTGGGAAGGACCCAAACAATGTTATACCCTCTTCAAAAGTACCCTGCCTGATCCTTTAGAATGTATCATCTAAGACATACAGATAATAAAGGACAGATATAATGCACTTACAGAAAATAACTGCCATTAAAATGGATATACAATGAGTAAGAAAATGAAGAACGGTCACATTGTATACAAGTGAAGGCACAGATCTGCAAAATGGGAGGACATGGGGCCTTCAGGGATCTTGTATGCAAGACATTGAGATCCCTTTTCCAAATCAGAACTGCAAAAGCGGCAAACCCATGGAAAAATGAAGCATTGTAAACAAGCCATTCAAAGACTGCTGTATATTTTTCTAAGCAACAGATTGTAGGGAAGATTCTATTATATATTTATCAAAAGCATATATTTGTCTTCTAGGACATACTTCAAATAGTATACGCTAGCTGGATACTTAAAAAAGAAAATAAAGGACAAAAACTCTAGCAAAATGTAACTGATGGTCTAAGTTATGCCTTGCCTTATAAACTTGTATTGTGCATAATAATCCTCTTCTAAGAAGCCGTCAACATGGCACCAAGGATTACAAAATGCCCAGAGGAAAAGCACACAGACTTGGACAAAAGAAACCCAGGCTCAGCTCCTGACCAAGTGACCTTAAGCAACTCTTTAAAGCTCTTTGGTTTTTAGATTCCTCTTCCAAAAATTGAGGATATTTGACTAAATGATCTCATAAGTCACTTTCAAATTAGACATTAAATGATTCTATGAAATTATGAGCCTCCAGGAGGACAGAGGGGAAGAAAAAAATATTTCATGTTTCTTAAGAACAGTAGGTTGTTTTCTTGAGAACAGTAGGTTGCTCCTACTATTTTTCTTTTGATCTCTCTATATTCTGTCTTAGTCTAAAGATAACTTGGGGTATCTTCTAGTAGGACAGAAGTCCAGGCTAATATAAAATTATCAGAGGGTACCAAGGCTAGTTTGAGACTTTCTCAAGGATTTAAATGATAGGGATGAAAAATAACATATACCACTACCATAATCAAGACAATCTTTGTTATTTCAAAGTGATTTGTCAGTAGAGAGCAATAACCATTAAATGTAGGTACAATTTAATCTTAGTTTCCAAGGCTGTTAACCTACACTGAACTACACGCCATTGCTCCCTTAAGAATGCAAGCGACTATACGGAAAGGTATATGGTGTTGTGGTGAAGATGTGATGGTTTTGATACATGACAGATCCAAGTAACAATCACAGTTGTGATCCTCACTACCTATGGAAACTTAGGCCAGTTACTTATTATGCCTAAGCATCATTTTATCTCATATGATTATCTTTGAAGATTAAAAGACGTTTATAAAATAAAGTTAACAGAGTGCTTTGCACAGTGCCTTGCCCATGGTAAGCACTCAATAAATTGTGGCATTAAAAACAAAACGTCTCTACTTAATTATTGTGAGCGAACACACTTTCCCACCTTCTGACATGTAAGATTTGATCTGAATTACTAAAAGAGAAAACAGGCAGCCGTACTAAAACTAAAGGACACTCCATACCTAGAAAGCAACTCTTCCAACTGGGCCTTAAACTGAACTGCCATCTCATACAAAGGCCTGCTCTTCTCTTAACAGGGTTAAGGGGCAAAAGGAGAAAATGGCAGTCGCTACTTGCCTCTCTGACAGGAGAGACTACCAGAGTCAGCTGGCTTCTCTTCCTCTAGATGCCCAGGAAACATAAAGGTACCATGAATCTGCAATACACGACTTTTCTTTGGTATTAAGTCAACTGTATCTAATCTTTAAAATACTGAAAAAATTAAACTGCACGTACTTTGAAAAGTGAGATTTCTAGCCAGGAATAAATGGCAATTTTATTTTTAAATTTCTATCATAAGCTTTACACTTTCACCCCTGACCATATGCAATTACCTCTAACAAGGTCATAATCTTGGTATTGGATTATCAAAATCATGAGAAACTTAAAAGAATTTTTTTTCTTTTTAAAATAACTTTTAAAAAATCATTATTTTAAAATAGTGACTTAAAAATCATGGAAAATTAAAAAAAATAGTTAGAAATGTTGTCTACATCTATTGTTCTGTCTGGGAAGACACACACATTCCACAAAAGACTGAAGAAGTAGGAGAAAGCCCTGTTCATCATAACCATGGATGTAAATCATCAAAGGACTGTGATTAATATTCTTAATAATTCAACCTGTTCTTCTGAAGTTTAAATCCATTCCCCACCCCTTTTTTTCTTTCTTAAACAGGTTCAGAAGGTATAAATTCATCCCCTTTGGAGACAAAGGTATCCCTTACTCTGTTAGACCAAGGATGGTTTCCCTTTTATACTGGTCATCTGCAGTAAACCGCTGCACATCCACACCCTTCCGAAGGCCCTGAAGGATCTGAGCCTGGGTGAAATCCAGGAGACGTTCGTTGTAGTGGTGCAACTGCTTGGTCAGGGAAACGAGGTCTTCGGGCCAGGCTTCGTGTCCATGTCGACTTACGTGCCTCGTGACCATCTTGATTAGCTCTTTGGGATCAGCCTGTGAAAGGCATGGAAAAGAACATATTTTACAAACATCATAAATATGAGCAGGTTTATAACAAAGAGAAAAAGACCACATCTGCAGGGCACTGGTCTGTCCCTTCACACACTGTTGCCATGTAACAGGGCTCACAACTGCCCTGTGAAGTCCGCTGCAGAGGTGGCACTTCACCCCGTGCAGGCCACAAAGACAGGACACAGAACTGAGTCTAGACACAGCTTTCTGGTCTCTTGCGCTGTTTTTCTTCAACCTTAAAGACCTCCACCCACTTAAAACATAATATATTCTTGCTTTTTCAACTACCATAAACCTATATCACATCTGTTCCCCAATCACCTGATCATTCATAGTAACTCATTCTAGAAGTAATTTTTTTCATCATTGCCTCTGGATAAGTTTTCTGTGGACCACCATGAGCGTTTTCAATGAAAGAGTTGCAGTTCAGTAACCTCATTATAAATGGCTATAAGTGGCTCTCTCTGAAGAGAAAAATATTTTCTCCAGACATAAGTTAGGAAAAGGGAAAAAAAAAAAAAAACAAACCAAAAACCCTGTTCCTGAAATAGTAAATACTTCCAGTTGTATGAAAAAGCATCCAACCAATTTTCACTCTGCTCAATTTAGGGCTCACTAGGATATTGTTCTATGTAACTCTTAGCAGCTTCTCTAACAACAACAAAATCATTCAAACAGAACTAAACTTGGAATCCAACAACTGACAGGAAAGGAGAATAAGTGATTAATTGGCCACGTTTATTTACATTAAAGTTGGTCTGGGTGTCAAGGAAGTGACAGCAGCTCAGCCATATTTTGGAATTACTTAACAGGGAGCATAATACTTGAACAGCATTAATTGAATCAATCCCAACTGTGGGGAAGACATGGTACATATTATATTTTAATATAAGCAAATTAGAGAAAAAACAAGACTCTACCTTTGGTTCTCAGAAACGCGCTCCTAATTACAGTAAGCTGTCAGCATTTCTAATGTGTAAGCCATTATTCTGAGGTACACAGGAGATTTGTCAATGCCGAGTCCGTATTACCAAACCTAGCCTGACATTCTCTCTCTTGATCCTATTAAGGAACAATCTGGGGGTACTGACAAAAACCAATTAAAGAAACGTTCTTGAATTCCAGCAGGTAGATTTGAGTAAAAGGCAACTTTACTATATTTCATTTTTTCCCCTACCCTATGCATATACTGAGTCGTACTCTCAAAAACCACAAATGTGTCTCAAGTCAAAAGACCTGGATTTGAATACTAACTCTCTCGCAGTAAGGTACAAGACCATCTTTTCAGCCATCCAATAAATATTTTTTGTGCACCTATCATGTACCGAGTGATGTACCAGGAAGATGTAACCCTCTCCTCCAGGAACGGAGTCTATTAGGAGAGACAGTCGGGCAAACTGAAAGTGTGACAGCAGTGAGCACAGGGCACTGTGGGCACACAGGGGACAGGCCTGGGGCAAGTGTCTGAAAGTCTTGGAAGAGTTAGTATCTGGGTAACTCCTCAGGTACCAGCAGTGAAAAGGGCAGCAAAGAATAGGGAGACAGATTCCAGTAAAGGGCAGAGACTGTGCTAAGGCCTAGGTGACTGAGGCTTGATGGAAAGATGGAGTGAATGAACCGAATCTAACTGCAATTAGAGAGTGATGCTGGAACCAGCTCCATGTGAACAGTGTTTCTGACGATGGATTTAAGCAAAGGGGATCCCACACCTCAGCTCTTAGGATACCTAAGGCTGACATTTAACTCAATCCCCTTTCTACCTAGCGTCCAAACCCCTCAGGGCACCACCCTAAACCTCCTAGCAAGGCCACCGCCACCCCTGCAGTTACGTGGTCCCGCCCAGGCCGTTGCTCAGGGCCAGCCAGCCCATCTACACCTGCTCTGCACTGCGGGTGTACACTGCTGCCGCCTGCTGTTTTCCCACCTCATCTGGCTAGCATTTTCTGACCAGTTGCAGAGAGAGCAACAACAAATATCCAGTGACTAGGTTTGGAGCATGGCAGGGGAGCTCTTTTTAGTTGTTCTTTGAAGGAGATCCTAGTACCCCAGATTTGCATTTCACCAGCAAATCCACGTTCACCAAAACAATGAAGAAGGCTTTTCTTCACATATACGTATATACTTTCACCTGTTGGTTTCAGACTAAAGCTCTCAGTCTGAACTTGCCCAATGCACTTCGAAGGAAAGGCTACAGCCCTCTAAACTATCTGTATGTATAACTCCACACCCTCTCTCTACCAGGCTATTGTTTCCACCCCACACTCATGGAATCAACCACCTTTGCTCTACTAATAGTTTCTTACAGTTTTTGTTCCACATTCATTTTCAATGTCTTATTTCCCGATATCTCCAAGATTTAGTGCACTTACTGTGAGAGTGGCCTGCATGCTTCTCACTTAGCCTCAATAGTATAACAGCTCCTCATTTCTCTTCTCTTCGTATTCTAATACAGTTTATGAAACAGATCCCAAGGCCAGGTGGAAAGCAAAGCTGAAAAATGGCAGCATGTAGCAATAACGAGCATAATTACAACTATTAACATTTACACGGGCTCTTGTTTAACCTGCAGAAAGTTTCATGTCTCCACAGATTTATGTGTGGCAAAAAGAATGTACTATTTCCTTTTGCCATCAAGAAAATCACATGGCCTAGTGACATAAGCACAAGCACACAGAACTTACTAGATGAACGACCTTTGTGCAAGTTACTTAACAACGATGAGCTTCGTTGTCTCATCTGTAAAACGCAGTAATAATATTTAGCTTTCGTGGATGTGAGAAGCCTAACAGACAACATGCACATATAAGATATACAAACTAAGACCTGGCATGAAGCAGGTGCTCCAAAAAGGAATTATGGAATTTGCTAAAAGGTATACAAAAATCACACTTTAATTGTATAATTTACTTTACATTGTCTTCTCTTAATATTATAGCTTCCGGAGGGCAGAAACCATGTGTACTTCCTGAATTTGCCTTTTCCAGAACATAGTAGAGTTTCATGCACAAATCTGGTACATGCCGCACACTGAACTGGCTTTGAAGTCAGCAGCACTGGTTGATATTCCAGCTCCCCACTCAACAGAGATGCAATTTGGAACAAGTTACTTCATATCTCTGTTTCTTCACTTATAAAAGAGTATCAATAGCACATCCCCTTCATGGTTTCTCGCAAGTCACAAATAAAATAAGGCATTTTATAGCCCTCCTTCCCCCATTATTACATGAAAGCAAATTGAACTCGGAGCTCACTCTCAAGGAATTCTAAACTAGCAACTGACAAAGATGTAGACATAAACAATTCGCAGACAGCATGTGACTATAAGCCCCATTACATAGTCAACAGCCAAGAGTTCTGGGAATTCCATGGAGGCAGCAATTGATTCCTTCTCGATTCCTCCAGGGCTTGGTTCCTTCAGATGTGAAGCAAAGGAGCATCACCAGATGATCACCTTTCTAACACTAAAATTTTATTAATGTATAAGAATTCAAACATTAACATAAAATAAATCTTCGTAAATCCCTCCCGGTGAGGAAATGGGGAAGTATCTCCTCTCATTTAAGCCTCCACTAAATATTTAGGACACATTTTTTAAAAAATACAATTTCAGACCAACAAATTATAGCCAACAGATTCCTGTACAGTTTAAACAACTTTAGTTTGTTCTCCTTTACTAAGTAGAAATTGTCTAGCCCCTCTGTGAATAATTTTTATTTCATATTCTTTGTACATAAAATGTATTCACTTGTTCAGGAAAAACTTAAACCGTTTGTTTTTCCTGTGTTCACACTAACACAACAATCAACATGGGAGATTTGTGTGACCAGAAGTGGGGGATTTCACCAAGCAAGCAAGCAATTTTGAAGTGACGTCAGTTGGGTGTCTTCCAATTCAATTCCAACACTATCTACCTGGAGATAGTCTCAGACTGATCCCCTTTCAGACACCAGTTGAAAGTCTGGGCCTCTGGAACTTCCTGACTGGCTTCAAGTTGGTGTCCCCACAACCCCTTCTTTGGGGTTGATTAATTGGCTGGAGCAGCTCACAGAACTCAAGGAAACACATAACTTTCGTTAACTGGTTAATTACAAAGGCTACAGATGAAGAGTTGCACAGGGTGATGTCTGGGGAAGGGGCGCGGAGCTTCCATGCTCTCTACCTGGAGCACCACCCTCTAGAAACATCCATGTTGTCAGCTATCCAGAAGCTCTCTGAACCTGTCCTCTTGGGTTTTTATGGAGCTTCACCACGTAGGTAAGACTGATTAAACCATTCGCCATTGGTGATCAACTTGACCCTCAGACACTCTCCCCTCCCTGAAGGTTGGGGGGTGGGGCTGAAAGTCCCAACTCTCTAATCCTGCCTTTGTCTTCCTGGTGACCAGCTCTATCCTGGAGCTATCAGTCAATATTAGCACACAAAAAGACAGCACTTTGGAGATTCCAAGGATATTAGCAGTTGTAATACAGGAAAAGGGATGAAGGTCAAATATGTATGTCACAATATCACATCACTTTTCCTAAGAAATACTTAAAAACAAAAATCTAGTATTTCAGACTTCAGGATGGAACAATCTAGTGTAAAATATACATGTACTAAGTCTCTCACTTAATACTAATAACCCTGTCAGACAGGTGTCTCTTAATCTCATTGAAACTGTCTAAAAGAAAAAGCAAACATTAAGGTCTAAAAATATAGACTTTGAATAGAAACTTGGCTAAGCACTAACCCGCTTGCCCTTTAACCCACTTTCTTACAGTTAGTTAGTTATAGGACACCCTTTAGCCCTTTTCCTTACAATAGCCTAACTGCCTATAAGTTACTTAGACCCTGTCACAAGGCTTCCCTTAATCATTTCTGTAAGATAGTATCTTTAATGTTAGGAAACCTCAAGTTTCTATCTGAGATATTTTCCAGATCTTGCATTCTAGTGGGTCCACTGACGCCAACCAGTATCAAGACCCTCTCTGAGGAACCCACTT